CAATACAACAAGGTAGAATAAAAAAGAAAAATGACCTCTGTTTAATCTTTCTATTTATTTTTACACATAAGTATATAGATGTATTCCTCATATCAGAGAGTTTGTATTGGAAAACAGTAGATAAATATTAATTATTTTGTTCATGGCGAACGTTAATTATTGTGAAAGATAAAATTAGATACTATACTCATATTCAATACAAAATGAAAACCAAAATCTCTGAACAGTTTCTGAAGAATAACATATATATTAAAATAAATACAAAGTCCAGTGATAAAAACTTGTAATTCTAGCACTGTAGGATATTGAGAAAGAAAGCTCATAAGTATTAGCCCAGCTTTGGCAATATAAAAACTTAGAGAGATGCTGTCTCAATATTGTAAACCTAAACAAATTATTAAAGGGCTGAGCATGCAACTCAGTGGGAAGGGCCTCTATTCAAAACTCAGTACCACAAAAAGTATTAGGGTTAAAAGAGATGTATGTGTAAACTTAGTGAGATGATTGTATTTTCTCTACCTAGAAGTTCATATCAATTTTTCAAATATTATATGCAAAAATGCTTAGTTCAAGCAAAAATCCCTTAAAATACTTTAAATACTTTGTAAAGAAATGTTTTGTTGAAAATGCAGAACATTTCTGAAGTGTTGAAAAGTCTATAATACACTTGAAAAAGTGGTAAAAGGCAAATCATAAAATAAGGTTAAGATTATATGGAAATATGTAATCAGTATCAATACCCTAAAAAAATTTAAATATTTCAATGAAAATCTATCTGCACACAGCAAAAGTCATGTCAAATTTGGTGAAAAGATAAAAAAAAATACTCCTCTTACATGGTTGTTGGAAGTATTTATTTATATGCTTCTCAAGGGTTCTTTAATCATGTGCACAAAATAACTTTAAATTATAGAGAGCTTAGAATCCAGTCATTGTACTTGTCAGAATTCACTTGCTTTAATCAGAAAATGTACATCTAGCTACAACAATCTACCTCTCTCAAAGATCTATCTATTATCATCCTTATAAAAACTTGAAAATTAGAAACCATTTGAAAATTAGGAACATTCAAATTTGGTGAAAATAAACCTTGTTAGTTTTACAAGATATGATATTGTATAGGCATAATATCATGATATTGATGTCTATACAAAGATATAGATCAACTTTTCTGATGTAAAATATACTGAATGACAGAAATGTAATAATCCTACTATTGATATATATATATATATAATTATAATCTCCAGGATACTATAAAAACTAATTTATTTATAACAATTGTGGCTATTCCATATATGTATACATGGGGCTTATCCTTCTTTATAATATTACAATTCTATTTTACAATATAATCTTGTAAAGACAAATATATATTTTATATCTCTACATATTTTTCTTTCCAAAACTTCTCTTCCTTTTCATTTTGACTTTAGGAAATCTTAAAGCATTTTCATGGGCACTTCAAGATTTTTACTTAAAGCATAAGGTGTTCTGGCCATTAAAAGCTCCCAGAATTGAAAGGCTATTATTTTCAGACACAGACACTGTACACAGTACATGGTCAGGGTAAAGACTGACTGCTACAGTGATCAGGTGAACATGGACAGAAGAAGGAAAGAGAAGGAGCAGTCAGCCTCTCCTCCCTCAGGAAGAGAAACAAAATTTTTCCCCAGCACCTTTCAAATATTCTTTAAATTTGATCTCACTTGGTATCTGACCAGTTCCCTCTCACTTACTGTACTTAGATTATGTCCATTCACAGTGGGATTATTTCCTCTAGAATCCTTTCAGTTTGGTTTAGCCTGGTCCTCATGACCCTTATGTTGTCTCTGAGTAATTTCCCATCCTCACCTCTATGCTTCACTTTGGCTGTAGACTCTCATTAGCATATGCAGTATTTGGGATCTCTCTCAACTCTTCTGCAATTCACTGCAGTGGTCAATATACTGATGATTCTTCCCTGATTAGATAAAAGCTTTCTTAGTTGTTTCAGTAAGTGCCCTTAGTAATTTTTACTTAAA